TCTTTCTTTTGGTGTTAGGTTTCGGCAGGTTAGGTTTGTTAGTTATTTTTATTTACTTCTTAAACCAAAAACCAGTTCGTTTTGGTTTGTATTGATTTTTTCTGTTTTTTTTTAATCTCTTTTCCTCCCTGATATTTATTATTTCCTTCCTTCTGCTGACTTTTGGGTTTTTTTACTCTTTTTCTAATTCTTCTAGCTGGTGGGTTAGATTGTTTATTTGAGATTGTTCTTCTTTTTTGAGGAAGGCCTGTATTGCTATAAACTTCCCTCTTAGCATTGTCTTTGCTACATCCCATAAATTTTGTGTGGCTGTGTTTTCATTTTCATTTGTCTCCAGGTATTTTTTAATTTCAGCTTTGATTTCATCATTCACCCATTGGTTTTTTAATAGCATGTTGATTTTCTCCATGCTTTCCTTTTTTTCTCCTTTGTTTCTCTGTAGTTGATTTCTAGTTTCATGGCATTGTGGTCAGTAAAGATGCTTGAGATAATTTCTATCTTCTTAAAATTGTTGAGGTTTCTTTTGTGCCCAAGTACATGATCAATCTTAGAAAATGTTCCATGTGCACTTGAAAAGAATGTATATCCTATTTTTTGGGGGGGTGTAATGCTCTGAAAATATCCACCAAATCTAATTTTTCTATTGTATCATTTAATTTCTCTGTTGCCTGACTTATTTTCTGTCTGGAAGATCTCTTTTTTTTTTTTTAAATGGGAAAACAAGAGTAGGAGCCCAGCCCCAGAGCTGAAGGCCCTGGTCTCTGAAATGTGGGCCTGGGAGCCTTAGCATCTTCTGTGGTTTTGTTATTACTCTTTGTTTTTTTTTAATAGCAGCTAAATGTGTACAGATTATGTTAAATTAATTTTTTTAAGATATAATTTTTCAGCTCACTTTGAACATGTAAGTCTGTTATTTTTAAATCAAATGAAATATTTTTGAAATGGATTTTTCTCCTAATTCTGGATTCATCATGATCATCATGATGATCATGGTATTTACAATACCAACTAATTATATTTACAATATCTGTCCAAACTTAGAATTGTTCAAGTACTAGTTTTCTGTAATAAACTTAGTATGCAAAATTTGAAGATTTTAACATTGGCACCTAAATTAGACACGAGATATATGTTTGTAGTATTTCAAAATTCATATAACTGATATGGGAGACATAAATTCTTTGGAAAACAGACTGTAAAGCATAATAGATTTTCCGTTTGATCAGTGGGAGTACTTTATCTTAGTTTGTTTTTCACTGCACATTTCTCATTTTTTTTGTTCATTTAACTTGACCAATTATTTGTTTATTTTATAGTAAAGTAGATTTTAGCATACGCTTTTTAAAAAATTTTGGCGCCTTTTAAAATTGGCATGTTTTTTAAAATATGTGTTTAATCACATCAACTTTTACCAAATGAAACTAAGCTATACGGTTTTTGAGCCAATTAAGAAAACCGCAGTTTTAAAAATGTAACATTTTAGAGTGATGAATGTGGTGACGTGGCTTACTGGGTCTAGACTGAAAGAAACTGCCTTAAAAAAATTCATTGAAAGTTTTAGCATTGTCTGAAGGGCAAGAGAGTAGGCAAATTGGCAGTAAGTTAAAAAAGAGGGGAAAATAGGAGTTTTGTTTTAAAGTAAAAAAGTCTGGTTGTACTAAAATGTGAAAGAAGACAGTACAAGTAAATTTGGGGTGCACAGTAAGTTGGAGAAAGGCCTGAGGAACAGTGAAATGGGTCCCCCTGCAAATAGTAAGTTTAAAAAGAAACAATGAAAATGTACTAATAATTTAACAGTATTAGGTCAATTTTGATGGATTTATTCATAAGATGGAGACGATGCCGGTGAACACTGTAAAATATTACATGTGGATATGCAGAAAGAGTGAAATTCTTTAACTTTAAAGAGCTTATTTTTTTCTGTTAAAATAGCAATGAGATCATAGTCTTTAAAGTGATTTTTAAAACGAGGGTGGGGCAGACCAAAAGCCCCCTGCCCTGGCTGATTTGTAATTAGTGATACATTCAAGTCCACGTTGAACATTAATGTGAAATATATTTGGCCAGTGGAAGTGAAAATTGGAAAAGACTATAAACAGATCAATCCAAATGAATTATTTATCTAAATGAATCATACAGTTAAACAAACAAAAAGCAGGTACACACACACACACAAAGGAAACACTCAGTTTGCGGTGTTAGATCAGGGGCAGGGGAGGGGAGGAGGAGACAAGGGAGGGAAGGGAAGGTAGGATGAGGGAGTGTTCGGAGCAAGGATATACCCTGAGATTCCTTCCTCTGAAGATGGAGAGATGGACATGATAGCTGGATAGATACTGGAAGCTCTGGAGGAGAGAATGCAGGGAGTTCTTTTAGATGACTGTGATCTTAGGGATGTAAGAGGAGGCTAGATTTTCCTGAGATGCGGGGAAAGGTCAGACTGGAGGGTTTGAGCCAGGAAGCAAGGTTTGCATGAGTGCAGTGGATGGGCAGCAGGGAACCAGGGGAAAGTCATGTGAATACAATTCAGTTGTTTCTCCAAAAGTGCTGGAGAAGAGTTGTGGGGACATTGAGGTCACAGGTGTGGGTGGAAGAATAACATCGGGCCTTTTTTACCTTTAAAAAGTGCAGGGCTGAGGTGGGAAGGGGGCTCTCTGGCGCCCTCCCCCACCCCCATACTCAGCACACTCAGGTATTTGCCTCAGACACCCCAGGCACACACGCGGGTGAGGGTGGTCCCCCTCGCATGCAGGGTGCAGCCGTCAGCAAGCCTGGGCTCTGAGTCCCCTCAGCCACTTCATTCTGTTAAAAGCACCCGCTTGAGACACAGCTCACATAATTCTGGCTTGACATATTCTCCCCTCTGAATTTATTCTGTGATCTTGCAAACAACACATAGAAGGAAAAAAGAAAAGAAAGAAAAAAGAAATCTTCATCTGCGGACTCCTTATCAGAAAATTTCAGTTATCACCACGTCCGCCTAAGGTGTCTTCCATCATCTGACTTAAGAAGCAGGGCTGGGACTTGGCAAGGGCGAATGTCAGGGGATGCCGGGCTCAGAGCGAAGTTGGTTTGTCTGACTTCAAATCCCTTTCCTGATAAAGTGATGACTGCGATGGAATCATCTTCACACAGAGCCACCGTGTCCTTAGGCTGCGGTCCCATATTTTGCGTGCATCACCCTTCACCCATCTCTCTCCTTTCTCTTAGCCAAGGAAAGTTCTTCGGGATCTAGGAGGCAACGTCCACTTCAGTTAAGCAGATAGCTATGCTGTTCGCTCCTTGATTTGACTTAAGGACGGGAGGCAAACATTCAGCGGGGAGGCGCGGGCTCTAGCGCCATGAGCGGGCGGGGCTGGGCTTGCGCCTCACGCGGTCGGGAAAAGAG